TCCCCATCTCTGATGATATTTAGTTACCCATACTGAAATGGCCATGTTAATGGTTAACTTCTAGAATGGTAGTTTCTGAGATTAGCAGGTTTTTATCTAAAATAATGACCATGCTAATGATTATAACTTCTGTCATAGCTATAGTTCCCAAGAAGGCAGCCCTTTGTCTAAAGTCCTAAAGACCTCAAAAAATGTTGTTGAAATTTGATCGCTAAGTATTGATCCTTTAAAGCAGGAATTAAACAATTTTCTTATAAGTCATTTACTGCTGTTGATATTGAATAATTTATCTCTACATTAATTTCCTTATATGCACTTCAAAGGCATAAATATGATTATTCATAATTTTCACACTGTAGCAGTAAGTTTTCAGAAGAAATAAAAGTGTTTTGATGCCTTTCAGGTGTGGTTTCCTATTTTTTTACTATTAAAACTTTGCATATAGGGGCGCCTGGGTGGCTCAGTCGTTAAGCATCTGCCTTCGGCTTGAGTCATGATCCCAGGGTCCTGGGATCGAGCCCTGCATTGGGCTCCCTGCCCTGCAGGAGGTCTGCTTCTCCCTCTCCTACTCCCCCTGCTTGTGTTCCTGCTCTCGCTATCTCTCTCTCTCTGTCAAATAAATAAATAAAAAATCTTAAAAAAAAAAAAACTTTGCATATATACCAAGAAATTAAAGATTGTCTTGGAACTGATTTATTGATATCAGTCTATTATTTAAACAATTGTCCAGCTGTATATTTGGTTTTGTTTCTAAGTATTTGTCAACTCTGTCAGGTTTGTGAGAAAGGCAAAATCAAATGATACCTGGGTTGATTTACTTAGCAAATTGTTCTAGATGCCAGCATCAGATCTCATTCTGTTTGAAATGGGTGCTTGAGGCATGGGCTATGGCTTTATAGTACATTGCCTACAAACTGTTTTCACATCTCACTTAGTATATGAGAATATGAAATGTTTTTCATACTGTTGAATGAGAACCTGAAATGTTTTTCTCTTTGGTGGTTGAGTCCACAACAATTTACTTGAAATACATAAGAGACTGCTGGTGTTCCTCATATACAGAAATCATTCATTTAACTCTGATTTGCTCTTGGATCAAATAATTAAAACAGAGTGACATTTTCTGTCAATTCCAGGTAGTTTCCTAAAGCTTCTCAGAATGCATTCAAAAGATAACAGGACTCCTTCAAAACTGACCATTTATCTGTGAGATTATTTATAAATCAAATTTGGGAAAATAAGGTTAATTGAATTTTTAAACAAGTAGCTGTATTACCCTTCAAACACCTTGGAGCTCATACAGTATTCACACTTTTTTGTTTTTTTAAACAAGTGATTTGATGTTTGAATTCTCTTTAATGATGGCTTTTTTAATTTTTTTAATATTTTGCTAGCATCTGTTTATGCTTTAGTTCTTTTTTTAATTTAATTTTATTATGTTAGTCACCATATGTAAACAATGAATCATGGAACACTACATCAAAAACATGATGTACCATATGGTGGCTTTTTAAAAATGTTAGTTAGGGGCCCTTGGGGTGCTCGTTTAAGCGTCTGCCTTCAGCTCAGGTCATGATCCCAGAGTCCTGAAGTCGAGCTCCACATCAGGCTCCCTGCTCAGCAGGGAAGCCTGCTTCTCCCTCTCCCTCTGCCGCTCCCCCTGCTTGTGCTCTCTCTCTGTCAAATAAATAAATTAAATCATTAAAAAAATTAAAAAATAAAATGTTAAATGGTTTAACCCTTAGCATCCCATGTCACATTTTTAAAAAAAGATTTTATTTATATTAGAGATAGGACAAGGGGAGGAGCAGAAGGAGAGGAACAGATTCCTCCATGCTGAGCACAGAGCCTGATGCTGGGCACGATCCCATGACCCTGAGATCATGATCTGAACCAAAATCAAGACTGCTGATTAATGACTGAGCCACCCAGATTCCCCCACCAATCACATTTTTTAAGGCCAGTTTTCTTTCCATTAATATAGTTTGTCTGTGGGGCTGCAATGAGATGCTCTTCCCATACAAGTTGCTGTTTTTGCTTTTTCTGGTGATGATGATTCTTAGGGCTATTTGACAGATAATCATTAGAACTTGAATCCTAGTAGCCTGTAAGTCTTTTCACCTATCACTGGAGGGGGATTTATGCTGGTAACTCCTATTAATGTTAATGGGACGTGCATGTGTAAATCCTCTTCCTCTCAATGAGACAGTTGACCCCTAAAAGAAATATTCTTTAGAGTTGGACAGTTGCTGATCTAGAAGCATTAATGAATTGTTAATGAATTGTTCTATTCAGGATTTTCATGTGTGGAAAAAAAATAGACTGTACCTAAATTGGGAGAGGATTTGTTTGTAGAGCTTGAAAAGATAAAATACTACCTCTTAATTTTCTCTTCCCATTTCTATTAATATATATTAATATCTATTAGATACTTTTTCATCTTGCTTTGCTTTCGTTGCTATGGCACCAACCTTTTATTCTAGAAACTAATATGAAAGAAGCAATTATTATTGTCTTTCCTATGAAAACTATTTCAGGGTATTCAAATAGTTGTTGAAGGAAAATTCTTATAGAGGAATCACCATTAATAATTACATGAAGAATGATAGAAAAATCACCATTTTGTAAACCCAGTGTAGTAATGGACCTAGGCAGTGATTATCAATGGTTACTAAAACCTTAAGTTGAAAGTTTGTTGCAGACATCACCTGAACCTAGTGATCAATCTTAAAAATCACTACAAGGAGAAAATAAGATGTTATAAGTCTCCTGATGTGTTGTAATAGGAAGTACACAGCACTAACTGGGAAGAATTCTTGCCAAAATAGAAATTAAAAACTCAATCTGAATATAATCAAGCCTCTAGATCTAACTACCAATTTATAAACATTAGGGGGATAGAAGAGCTTATTAAATGACACCATGAAGATACAATGTATAAAATTCTAAAGGACAAATAACCTGATTTTATCAACAAATAACTTGCACAGAAAAAAATGAAGGGAGCACTGTTACAGATTAAAGGAGACTTTAGAGATGTATCAGCCAAGTGCAACATGCTGACTTTGGACCTTGCTTTGAATAAATGAAACTTTTGTTAGAAAAAAACAAAAAAACCATTTGAGACCATTGTAAGGATTGAACATTGCCTGGGTGTTAGTTGACATCAAGGAATTAATTTTAACTACTGGGTGTGGTAATGTTAAAATTTTAAAAAGCATTATCTGTTAGAGATTTTTTAAAAATAGGTGAAGCAAATACATATAATAAAATGTTAATGATTAAATCTAGGTTATGCTATATGGGTTTGGCGTTTTTTTCTATTTTGTATTTTTGTATTTAAAACTTTACATAGCAAAATTTTTAAATGGTAAATAAAAGTCTATTGATTAATATAATAACCTATAGGTAGTATCTTACTTTACAACACAACTACTTTTCTGTTTCTGAAAAGGAGGACTTATATGTTCAGTCCTCTCCTGTAAATTTTGTTTTATAATGTTTTGAAACCATGAGCTATAAAAATAACATATTTGAATTTATTAACTTAGGGAAAAATAAGCATGTTTACAGAGTCTCTATCTCAAATTGAAAATGAAAATGGTATTACAGAGTCACATGAAGTGGGGAAATTTATATTCTTGCAACTTACATAACCTGTACTTTGTACTTTCTTGATTAAAGATCAGTGATAAAATTTTAATGCTTTTTAACCTCTACAGTGTTTCTATCTGCGTGTTTTCAGATGTTGCAACATGGAGACTGCTACTAATTTTCAACGTGAAACCTCTCTGATACCTGTACACATTTGGGCTTGTGACTGCTATCTATGGGAATCTGTTGAATATAATCATATTTTTTTAGAAACTAAACTGAATATATACATGTTGTAAAATATAACATGCCCCAATTATCCACATCAAAAATTCAATCTCATTTCCTATATTAACAATATAGTTCAACTGTTAGCAACTGTTGCTCTTAACAATTGTTGCTGATGGGGTAGTAGATCCCCCATTCTTCTTAAAGGGCTTCTACTGAGTGGAGATCACTTCAGTTATTTTTATCCAATTAGAGCTACCAGTGGAACAAGTTAATAAGTCAATTGAAATGTGAATAGATTTTTTATTTTAATTTTTTTTATTTGAGTATAGTTAATGTTAACATTAATTTCAGGGGTACAATATAGTGATTCAACATCTATAGGTTATGCTATGCTCACCACAAGTAGCTACCATCTGAAATGTAGACAATTTTTTTAATTGAAGTAGTTGATACAGTAGTATAAAAAGGTCTATCTTGCTCACATACATGTAGAATTACAACTCTTCAATCCCCACATTCCTCCAGCTGGACACATAATCTTACTGTTTTTATCTCAGGAATATCTTCCTGATCATAGTTTCCTCTATTTCCACAACTCACTGTTCTCATTTTCTTTCAGATTAATTATTACGGTTGGTCTTTTTTTTTTTTTTTAAGATTTTTTATTTATTTGACAGAGACAGCGAGAGAGGGAACACAAGCAGGGGGTGTGGGAGAGGGAGAAGCAGGCTTCCCGCCGAGCAGGGAGCCCGATGTGAGGCTCGATCCCAGGACCCTGGGATCATGACCTGAGCCAAAGGCAGACACTTAACGACTGAACCACCCAGGCGCCCCTACGGTTGGTCTTCTTGACACAAAGTTCCCCATTCTATTCCGGTGGTGGTTCCAGAAACCACTGCATGGATTCCTTCTCAGGCTTACACATGGTGAGTTGGAGTTATTTAGCATAATAACACACCAAAGTTAAGTAAGAGTGAAGCTCTTGAGTGTGCATCCTTAGCCTGCACCAAATATGGCTGTGACAGGGTGTAGCTTGGGACTCTGAGGTCCAGGTAGAGAGAAGAAAAGGAAATGAAGGGTGACACTTGCAGTGCCTACTATGTACCAGGCACTATTCTATTAACACTTTTAACCTCAAAACAACATGTAGGTATTAATCATTCTGTCTTTTACAGATGAGGATCTTGATGATGAAACTGAAGGACAGAGAGCTAAAATGATTTGTCCAAGGTCACACAGAAAGATTTGGATTGCTCCTCTAAATTCTTTGTGCACTGAAACATGGTTGTGATCTAGTAACAAGATTATACTTTCTCATCATAATGAGCTATATCTAGCTGCCCTTCTAGTGGCAGAGTTTCACTTAAATACAAATAATAGCCCTGATCATGTCACTCTCTCCCTAAAAACTTTTCCATACTAATTACAATCTGACTTCTTTAGCATTGCATATGAGACCACACTCCCCCAAAAAACATATTTCTGTTTGCCTTCATCTCCTATCATTATACCTCTCCTCACACTTTACTCTTCAGTCACAGTGAATTCCTCAGGATCTTCAAACTCTTTGGCCCTTCACATATATCCTTTCTGGAATGCCCTGACTTCTCTCTGCTACTACTATACCCCTTCTAATAAACTTTCTATTCTGCCTTTAAAACCCATATTTAATATTATTTCAACTGCCAACCCTTGGTAACCTCACTTAGCAAAGTTACTTTTCCCTCTGTGCTCCCTGCAGTACTGCTCATAAAGCCTTTATCTCACTGAATTCCAAGTTGCCTGATTTTATTCCTGTCTCCTAGATAGTGAACAACTTGAAGGTAGGGACCCTGCTATTCATCCATGTATCTCCAGTACCTAAACAACCCTTGGCTCATGACCATGCATGTCCTGCATAACCCTGCTCCTCTGGCCATACTAGTTTCAATCTAGGGTGGAAACAGGGCCCTGAAGCACTTTGGAATTGGGACTCATCAAGAGTTTGACGTTCTGAGTGGCTGGCCCATAACGCAAAATTATCTTTAGCTATGAGCAGCTATATCTTCTACCAGGTGGCCAGGGGAGCAAAGTCAGTTTGCAAAGAAGCACTGATGAGACACTGAATTGCCAGGTGAACCTAGCGTTGGTTTCTGTGAAGTTTCTAATTCCAAGATCAGTCCTCTTGGAGACCCAGTATCATTGCTGCTCTTCAGTTTTTTGAAACACTCCTGACTCCTCATAATAAGATTTCCTTTGATGTTCAAGAAACGTGTATTGATTTGATACTTGCAAACACCAAGTTTTAACTAAATAAACATGTCTGGGAATATGATGGAGTAGTAGGAGGACCCTAGACTTGCCTCATCCCTCAAACACGGCTACATAAATATCAAATCATCCTGAATACCCAAGAAATCTGAGGACTGACAGAACAAAGTTCACAGCTAGAGGGAGAGAAGAGGCCACATTGTGGAAGGTAGGAGGTGCAGAGATGTGATTTGGAGGAGAAAGGATTGTAGGTGCTGCAGAGGGGAGAGAGCCCTCGTCATGGAGATGAGAGAGGCAAGAGGGAGAGAGAGGAGCACACAGGGGATTGCAGAAGGAAAACACTTCCACAAAGACATTGGGGAAATGGGAGGGGCTGATTTTCATGAGTTTTTACAACCAGCAAGGCCCAAAGACTGGAGTTTTAGAGGTCCATTGCCATGGCTGGTTTGGAGCCTGGTGGGGGCTGCAGTGCTCCCATGGAGAAGGAGGACAGATAGGCTAGTAGTGGATGGCCTGATATGAAGATCCCTTGGGACACACTGGAGACACGGTTCCCTCTCTTTGGAGAGCATCTGGGAGAGGTGGCATTGCCTCTCCAGGGACAAAAGAGCCTGTGGGCACCATTACCCTCCCCCATCCCCCAACATAGGTGCAGAGAAACCTGCTAAGGGCAGCTAACCTGGATACTGGCTCTTCACTGCACTTTACTCCGAAGTCCACTCCCTTGTGCTTTGGTGCAGCTGTCCTTCTGAGACAAAAATGCATCAGTCCCAGCATGCTGAGACCCTACCCCAGAGGATAAGTGCAGGTCCCTGCCACACCAGGTCCCTAAAGTTGGAGTTTTAAAACTCAGCCAGACTGCATGGGATAGAACACAAGTGGGGCTGCTGGGTGGGCAGACAGCCTGGACACAGGGTGAAGGCAGGGATCTGAGGGATGCTTAGGACACATGAGGTGAGATTGTTGCTCTTTTGGGAGGACTTCCCAGACAGGGATGGACAGGAACTCCCTTCTCAGTGAAATGGAGGGGGCTGGTGCCATTTATCTCTCCAACCCCTCAGCATAAACTAACTTCAGTAAGCGGCACAGTGCCACTGGTAATAGCCTCAACTGCTTACAAAAAGCCCTGCCCCCCTGCACTCTGCAGGTGCTGCTTTTCTAGGGCAAGCATGCCTGAGAACCAGAGCAGTGGGCCCCTCCTCCAGAAGACCAGCACAATACCCCCTCACGTGCCACGTATCCTGACCATAGAGTTCTGCAAAACTTCAGCTCTCATGGAAATAGGATCAGATCTCTTTTAAGCAGACAGAGCACACCTCGTTAAAGCTCACCACACTGTTGCCAAAGTCCAAACATTCCCTCCTGCAGGCAAGGAGAAACTCTGCAGAGTACTGACCTAAAGACAAGGAGAAACTGCAGAGGACACAACTGAGGGAAAGAACAGCCAAAGCACAGCACCAGAGTACACACAGCATATACCAGAAACACTTCCTGAAGCACCAGATCCTGGACAGTATATGACCTCTTCTTAATAAAGCCATTACTCTCCAGAGCATGGAACATAAAGGCTTTCCTAACACAGAGAAGACAGAGACCTAGGTAAAATGCCAAGATGGAGGAATACATCCCAAAAAAAGAACAAGAAAAGGTCATGGCCAGATATCTAATTGAAACATATAAATAATATACCTGATCGAGAAGATAAAGCACAATCATAAGGATACTAGCTGGGTTTGAGAAAAGCATAGAAGACACCAGGGAGTCCCTTACCACAGAGATAAAGGACCAAAAAACTAGCCAGGCAGAAATAAAAACTGCTACAACCAAGATGCAGAACTGACAGGATGTAATGATCACAAGAATAGAAGAGGCAGAGGTGATACTTCAGTGATACTGAGGACAAAATTATGGAAAATAATGAAGCTGAAAAGAAGAGGAAAAGAAAAAATTGGATCACAAATGTAGATTTAGGGAGCTTAGCATATCCATAAAGTGTAATAACATTCATATCATAGCAGTTGCAGAGAAGAGAGCAAAAAAGGGGCAAAAGGTCTACTTGAGGAAATTTTAGCTGAAAACTTCCCTGATCTGGGGAACAAAGCAGACATCCAAATCTAGGAGACAGTGAGCACTCCCATCAAAACCACAAAAGCAGGCCAACACCAAGACATATCACAGTTAAATTTGCAAAATACAGAGATAAGGAAAGAATCCTGAAAGCAGAAAGGAAAAGAAAACCCTAACCAGAAGGGAAGACAAATCAGGTTAGCTGCAGATCGGTCCACAGAAACTTGGCAGACCAGAAGAAAGTGGCAACGTGCTGAAGGGGAAAAATATGCAGCCAAGAATACTTGATCCAACAAGGCTGTCATTCAGAATAGAAGATAAAGTGTTTCCCAAACAAAAACAAAAGGAGTTTGTGACCACTAAACCAGCCCTGCAAGAATATTAAAGGGAGTCTTTGAGTGTGAAAAAAAGACCAAAAGGGACAAAGACGAGAAAGGAACAGAAAAAAATCTCCAGAAACAATGACTTAATAGGCAATACAATGGAATTAAATTCATATCTATCAATAATCACTCTGAATGTAAATAGACAAAATGTGCCAATCAAAAGACATAGGGTATCAGAATGGATAAAAACAACAATAACAACAACAAAAAGGGGTGCCAGGATGGCTCAGTCAGTTAGGTGCCCAACTCTTGGTTTCAGCTCAGGCCATGATCTCAGGGTCATGACATCAAGCCCTGCATGGGGCTCTGTGCTCAGCGCAGATTCTGCTTGAGATTCTTTCTCTCCCTCTCTCCTCCCTCTCCCCCTACTCACTTCTCTCTAGAATGAATACATACATCTTTAAAAACAACAAGAATAAGACCCATCTATATGCTGCCTATAAGAGACTCATTTTAGACCTAAGGACACCTGCAGATTGAAAGTGAGGGGATGGAGTACCATTTATCATGCTAATGGATGTTGAAAGAAAGCCAGAGTAGTCATAATTATATCAGAAAAACTAGATTTTAAACCAAAGACTATAATGAGAGATGAAGAAGGGCACTATATCATAACTAAGGGGTCTATCCAACAAGAAGATCTAACAATTGTAAATATTCATGCCACCAACTTGGGAACACCCAAATATATAGAACAATAACAAACACAAAATAACTCATTGATATTAATACATTAATAGTAGGAGACTTTAACATCCCACTTACAGCAATGAACAGATCATCTAAGCAGAAAATCAACAAGGAAACAATGGCTTTGAATGGCACACTGGAACAGATGGACTTCACAGATATATTCAGAATATTTCATCCTAAAGCAGCAGAATACAGAATATTTTCGAATGCAAATGGGATATTCTCCACAATAGATCACATACTGGGTCACAAATCAGGACTCAACAAATTAAAAAAAAAAAAAGATTGAGATTATACCATGCATATTTTCTGACCACAATGCTATGAAACTTGAGGAAAACCACAAGAAAAAAAATTTTGGAAAGACCACAAAAAAATGGAGGTTAAAGAACATCTTACTAAAGAATGAGTGGGTTAACCAGGAAATGAAAGAAGAAATTTAAAAAAATACATGGAAACAAATGAAAATGAAAACATGATAGCCCAAAACCTTTAGAATGCAGCAAAAACAGCATAAGAAGAAAGCATATAACAACACCTCAAAAAGAAAATAAATACACAACCTAACCTTACACCTAAAAGAGCAAAAAGAAGAACAGCAAATGAAGCCTGAAGCCTGCAGAAGGGAAACAAAGATTAGAGCACAAATAAATGATATAGAAACAACAACAATAACAAAAACCCAGAAGAACAGATCAATGAAAGTAGGAACAGGTTTTTGAAAGAATTAATAAAATTGATAAAACCCTAGCCAAACATACCAAAAGGAAAAGAGAAAGAACCCAAATAAATAAAATCACAGACAAAAGAGGAGAAATCTCAACCAACACCACAGAAATACAAACCGTTAAAAGAGAATATTATGAAAAATTATATACCAACAAATTGAGAAATCTGGAATAAATGGATAAATTCTTAGAAACATGTGAACAACCAAACTGAAATAAGAAGAAATAGAAAACTTGAACAGACCCATAACCAGCAAGAAATTGAATCAATAATAAAAAATCTCCCAACAAACAAAATTCCAGGACCAGATGGCTTCCCAGGAGAAATCTACCAAGCATTCAAAGAAGAGTTAATACTTATTCTTCTCAAACAGTTCCAGAAAGAAAGAAAGAGAGAGAGAGAGAAAAAGAAGGAAGGAAGGAAGGAAGGAAGGAAGGAAGGAAGGAAGGAAGGAAGGAAGGAAGGAAGGAAGGAAGGAAGGAAAAAAGAAAGAAAGAAAGAAAGAAAGAAAGAAAGAAAGAAAGAAAGAAAGAAAGAAAGAAAGAAAGAAAGAAAGAAAGAAAAAGAAAGAAAGAAGAAAGAGAAAGAAAGGAAGAAAGAAAGAAAGAGAAAGAAAGAAAGAAAGAAAGAAAGAAAGAAAGAAAGAAAGAAAGAAAGAAAGAAAGAAGAAAGAAAGAGAAAGAAAGAAAGAAGAAAGAAAGAAAGAAAGAAAAAAGAAAGAAAGAAAGAAGAAAGAAAGAAAAGAAAGAAAGAAGAAAGAAAGAAAGAAAGAAAGAAAGAAAGAAAGAAAAGAAAAGAAAAGAAAAGAAAAGAAAAGAAAAGAAAAGAAAAGAAATGGAAGGAAGAAAGAAATGGAAGGAAAAGTTCCAAACTCATTTCCTGAGGCCAGCATTACCTTGATTCTAAAACCAAAGTCCACTAAGAAGGAGAATTACATGCCAATATCCCTGATGAAAAATGAATGCAAAACTTCTCAACAAGAAGGTAGCAAATTTAATCCAACAGCACATTAAAAGAATCATTCATGATGATCAAGTGGGATTTATTTCTGGGCTCCAAGGGAGGCTCAATATTTGCAAATCATTCAACATGATACACCACATTAATAAAAGAAAGGATAAGAACCATAGGATCCTCTCAATAGATGCAGAAGAAGCATTTGACAAAGTACAGCATTCATTTTTGATAAAAACCCTCAAAAAAGTAAAGATAGAGGGAACATAACTCAGTATCATAAAGGCCATATACAAAAGGTTCACAGCTAATATCATCCTCAATGGGGAAAAACTGAGAGCTTTTCCTTTACAGTCAGGAACAAGACAGGGATGTCCACTGTCACCATTTATATTTAACATAATACTGGAAGTCTTAGCCTCAGCAATCAGAACAGTAAGAAATAAAAGGCAACAAATCAGCAAGGAAAAAGTCAAACCTTCACTTTTCACAGACAACATGATACCCTATGTAGAAATCCCAAAAGACTCCACCAAAAAATTGCTAGAACTGATACACGAATTCAGTAAAGTCACAGGATATAAAATCAATGTACTGAAATCTGTTGCATTTCTATACACCAATAATGAAGCAGCAGAAAGTGAAATCAAGGAATCGATCCCATTTACAGTTACACCAAAAACTGTAAGATATCTAGGAATAAACCTAACCAAAGAGAGATCTGTACTCTGAAAGCTATAGAATACTTATGAAAGAAATTGAGGATGACACAAAGAAATGAAAAGCATTCCATACTCATGGATAGGAAGAACAAATACTGTTAAAATGTCTATACTATCCAAAGCAATATACACATTTAATGCAATTCATATCAAAATACCATCAGCATTTTGCACAGAGCTAGAACAAATAATCCCAAAATTTGTATGGCACCACAAAAGAACCCAAATAGCCAAAGTAATTTTGAAAAAGAAAAGCAAAGCTAGAAGCATCACAATTCTCGACTTCAAGTTATATTACAAAGCTGTGGTGATCAAGACAGTATGGTACTGGCACAAAAACCAACACACAGATCAATGGAACAGAATAGAAAACCCAGAAGTGGACCCACAACTGAATGGTTAACTAATCCTTGACAAAGCATGAAAGAATATCCACTGGAAATTAGACGGTCTCTTCAACAAATGGTGTTGAAAAAGCAGAAGAATGAAACTGGACCACTTTCTCAGACCACACACAAAAATAAATTCAAAATGGATGAAAGACCTAAATGTGAGATAGGAAACGAACAAAATACTGAGAAAACAGGCAGCACGTCAGCTGTAGCCAGTTCTTACTAGACATGTCTCAAGAGGCAAGGGAAATACACAAAAATGAAATGATGGGACTTCATCAAGATAAAAAGCTTCTGCATAGTGAAGGAAATATCAACAAAAGTAAAAGGCAACCTTCAGAATGGTAGATGTTTGTAAATGACATATTTGATGAAATGTTAGTATCCAAAATCTATAAAGAACTTATCAAGTCAACACCCAAAAAAACAAATAATCTAGTTAAGAAAGGGGCCAGAAGGCATGAATAGATATTTTTCCAAAGAAGACATACAGATAGGTAACAGACACATGAACAGATGTTCACGTCACTTATCATCAGGGAAATACAAAGGAAAATTACAGTGAGATATCACAGCTGTCAGAATGGCTAAAATTAATAACACAGGAAACAACAGATGATGCTAAGGATGTGGATAAAGGGAAACCCTCTTACACTGTTGGTGGGAATGCAAACTCTGGTGCAGCCACTGTGGAAAACAGTATCGAGATTCTTCAAAAAGTTAAAGTAAAACTACCCTATGACCCAGAAGTTGCACTACAAGGTATTTACCCGAAGGATACTAAAATACTGATTCAAAGGGAATCATGCACCCGATGCTTAGAGCAGCATTATCAACAATAGCCAAACTATGGAAAGAGCCCAAATGTCCATCAACTGCTGAATGGAAAAAGAAGAATGGTGTGTGTCTGTATATATATACATATATTCTATTATATACAATGGAATATTACTCAGTCATCCAAAAGAATGAAATCTTGCCATGTGCAACAACATGGATGGAGCTAGAAAGTATTATGATAAGTGAAATAAGTCAGTCAGAGAAAGGCAAATACCATATGATTTCACTCATATGTGGAATTTAAGAAACCAAACATGTGACTGTAGGAGTAAAAAAAAAGAGAGAGGAAAACTATAAAACATACTCTTAACTATGGAGGACAAACTGAGGGTTGTTGGAGGGTAGGTGTGCAGGTGGATGGGTTAAAAGGGTGATGGCTATTAAGGAGAGCACTTATTTTTTTTGTATCTTTTTCTTTGTCTTTTTTTTTTCTTTTTCCTTTCTTTCCCTTCCTTTTTCCCTGGTTTCAGGTCTCTTCTGATTTGTTTAGTGTATATTTTTCTGGGGTTGTTGTTACCCTGTTAGCATTTTGTTCTCTCATTCATCTATTCTCCTCTGGACAAAATGACAAGACGGAAAAAATCACCTCAAAAAAAAGAACAAGAGTCGGTACTGACTGCCAGGGACCTAATCAATACAGACATTAGTAAGATGCCAGAACTAGAGTTCAGAATGACTATTATAAAGATACTAGCTGGGCTTGAAAAAATCATGGAAGATATTAGAGAAACGCTTTCTGGAGAAATAAAAGAACTAAATCTAACCAAGTCAAAATCAAAAAAGCTAGTAATGAGGTACAATGAAAAATGGAGGCTCTAACTGCTAGAATAAATGAGGCAGAAGAGAGAATTAGCGATATAGAAGAACAAATGATGGAAAATAAAGAAGCTGAGAAAAAGAGAGATAAGCAACTTCTGGATCGCGAGGGCAGAATTTGAAAGATAAGTGATACCATAAGATGAAACCATATTAGAATAACTGGGATCCCAGAAGAAGAAAAAAGAGAGAGAGGGGCAGAAGGTATATTGGAGCAAATTATAGCAGAGAACTTCCCTAATTTGGGGAAGGAAACAGGCATCAAAATCCGGGAGGCACAGAGAAGCCCCCTCAAAATCAATAAAAATAGGTCAACACCCCGACATCTAAGAGTAAAACTTACGAGTCTCAGAGACAAAGAGAAAATCCTGAAAGCAGCTCAGGAGAAGAGATCTGTAACCTACAATGGTAGAAACATTAGATTGGCAACAGGCCTATCCACAGAGACCTGGCAGGCCAGAAAGGACTAGCATGATATATTCAGAGCACTAAATGAGAAAAATATGCAGCCAAGAATACTATACTCAGGTGGGCTGCAATTGAAAAGAGAAGGAGAGATAAAAAGCTTCCTAGACAAACAAAAACTAAAGGAATTTGCAAAGACGGAACCAGCCCTACAAGAAGTATTGAAAGGGGTCCTCTAAGCAAAGAGAGAGCCTAAAAGCAACATAGACCAGAAAGGAACACAGACAATATACAGTAACAGTCACCTTACAGGCAATACAATGGCACCAAATTCATATCTTTCAAAAGTTACCCTGAATGTAAATGGGCTAAATGCACGAATCAAAGACACAGGGTATCAGATTGGACAAAAAAACAAGACCCATCGATATACTGTGTGCAAGAGACTCATTTTAGACCCAAAGACACCTCAAGATTGAAAGTGAGGGGGTGGAAAACAATTTACCATGCTAATGGATACCAAAAAAAAGCTGGGGTGGCAATCCTTATATCAGACAAATTAGATTTTAAACCAAAGACTGTAATAAGAGATGAGGAAGGACACTATATCAAACTTAAAGGGTCTATCCAACAAGAAGATCTAACAATTGTAAATATCTATGCCCCTAACATGGGAGCAGCCAATTATATAAGCCAATTAATAACAAAAGCAAAAAAACACATTGACAGCAATACAATAATAGTGGGGGATTTTAACACCCCCCTCACTGAAATGGACAGATCATCTAAGCAAAAGATCAACAAGGAAATAAAGACTTTAAGAGAAACACTGGACCAAATGGACTTCACAGATATATTCAGAACATTCCATCCCAAAGCAAAGGAATACACATTCTTCTCTAGTGCCCATGGAACATTCTCCAGAATCAATCACATCTTAGGTCATAAATCAGGTCTCAACCGGTACCAAAAGATTGGGAATGATCCCTGCCTATTTTCAGACCACACTGCTTTGAAACTAGAACTCAATCACAAGAGGAAAGTCGGAAAGAACTCAAATACATGGAGGCTAAAGAGCATCCTACTAAAGAATGAATGGGTCAACCAGCAAATTAAAGAAGAATTTAAAAAATTCATGGAAACAAATGAAAATGAAAACACAACTGTTCAAAATCTTTGGGATGCAGCAAAGGCAGTCCTAAGAGGAAAGTATATAGCAATACAAGCCTTTCTCAAGAAACAAGAAAGGTCTCAAATACACAACCTAACCCTACAGCTAAAGGAGCTGGAGAAAGAACAGCAAATAAAGCCTAAATCCAGCAGGAGAAGAGAAATAATAAAGATCAGAGCAGAAATCAATGAAATAGAAATCAAAAGAACAGTAGAACAGATCAATGAAACTAGGAGCTGGTTCTTTGAAAGAATTAACAGGATTGAGGAACCCCTGGCCAGACTTATCAAAAAGAAAAGAGAAATGATCCAAATAATAAAATCATGAATGAAAGAGGAGCAATCATAACCAACACCAAAGAAATACAAACAAAGTTGAAAATAGAGCTACCATATGACCCAGCAATTGCACTACTGAGTATTTAACCCAAAGTTACAAATGTAGGGATCCGAAGGGGTATGTGCACCCTGATGTTTATAGCAGCAATGTCCACAATAGCCAAACCATGAAAAGAGCCAAGATGTCCATCGACAGATGAATGGATAAAGAAGAAGTGGTATATATATACAATGGAATATTAATGCAGCCATCAAATGGAATGAGATCTTGCCATTTGCAATCACGTGGATGGAAGTGGAGGGTGTTATGCTGAGCAAAATAAGTCAATCAGAGAAAGCCATGTATAATATGACCTCACTGATATGAGGAATTCTTAATCTCAGGAAACAAACTGAGGGTTCCTCGAGTGGTGGGGGCTGGGAGGGATGGGATGGCTGGTTGATAGACATTGGGGAGGGTATGTGCTATGGTGAATGCTGTGAATTGTACAAGACTGTTGAATCACAGATTTGTACCTCTGAAACAAATAATACAATATATGTTAAAAAAAAAAAAGAAGAAGATAGCAGGAGGGGAAGAATGAATGGGGGGAAATCAGAGGGGGAGATGAACCATGAGAGATGATGAACTCAGAAAAACAAACTGAGGGTTCTAGAGGGGAGGGGGTGGGAGGATGGGTTAGCCTGGTGATGGGTATTAAAGAGGGCACTTTCTGCATGGAGCACTGGGTGTTATACACAAA